ACAATACAGCCTAAGCAGAATCTACGACTAACGAGGGAAGCTTCAGCAGTACTAGTACTACCTGCGCAGACCTCGACACGATACCCTAACAAGAGCGTGCTAGAACATGCACCCTCAACCCTAAACCCTAAATCCCATAATCCCTAATCCCTAAATCCCATAATCCCTAATCCCTAATCCCTAAACCCTAAACCCTAAATCCCATAACGTGCAGACAGGCAGCACGCCAGGCACATCTCTAGCAGACTCGAGTTGGAAATCTCGATGGCCTCGGTCCGGGATACTGTTCTGGGCGTGGCCAAAGCGCGAAAGAGGGAGGGACTTAGGGTTTAGGGGGTTCTTGACGGCCCAGACACTGCAAGTAGACCCTAAACCCTAAACCCTGATCAGATCCCGAAACCTCCTAAACCCTAAATCCTCACAACCCTGATCCCTAAACCCACCTGAACCCTCAACCTTAAAACCCTAAACCCTAAACCCTAAACCCTAAACCCTAAACCCTAAACCCTAAACCCTAAACCCTAAACCCTAAACCCTAAACCTCAAGCTTGCAGGGCCGAGGTTCCCAGCACACCCTTGGACCCCCCGACCCTGAACTCCCACTAAGCTGCAAAATGAGAGTTTAGGGTTTAGGTTTGGGGTTTAGGGTTTAGGGTTTAGGTTTTAGGGTTCAGCGTTCAGGGTTTAGGGTTTAGGGTTTAGGGTTTAGGGTTTAGGGTTTAGGGTTTAGGGTTTAGGGTCTAGGGTTTAGGGTTCAGGGTTTCAGGCAGGCTCGAACATGTGGGGTACAGGACGTTCGACGGCTGTCCAGGAACGCAGGCGAATCAGGATGCATATTTCGGCGATGATGAGTGTATCTTAATACGAAAGCCTGGGAATCTTCTCAAGCTTGCTTGCCTTCGTGGGAGTAATGGCAGCCCTACTTTAAGTTCGTATGGTGGGGTCAGGGTTTTGGATCTCGCATCCCGGGTGTAGGATCTGGGGGATTGTGGGGTTGAGCGTGTAATTGAAAGGTGAACCCTAAACCCTAAACCCTAAACCCTAGACCCTAAACCCTAAACCCTAAACCCTAGGTGCTAATACAGTCACGATATCACGACACTTTTGACTATAGCTATATACTCTTGCAACTATTCCATGCCACCGTCTCCAAAAACAAATCCTCATCTAGGTGTTCAGGCGCCTATGACCAACCCGACAAAACCACATACACCTACACCCTCAAAAACAATACATCTAAACTCCATAAGCCCCAGAAACCTATCACGAAACAATGCTTCTCAACAACCCCATGGATTTATGTTATGTATAAATAAGACAGGGGCCTTCTGATTAGAATAGGAGTTTGGTCCCTCAGGGTTTGAGGTTGTTGCAATCTTGGGGCTTCTGTTGGTTAGGGTTCAGGGTTTAGGGTTACGTTACCACCACTAATAGTGGGCCTTTGTGGAGCGCATCTTAGCTAGAATGGCACCTACAAAGCCTGACAAAATATCAGGAAACATTGTCCTCTTAAAAGCCCTGTACCCTAAACTTTAAGCCATAGTAGGAAAGCCATACATATCCCGTGTGTGTGTATGTAGGTTTAATTGAGGGATTCTTAAGCTTTGCTCTACCATGCACTAACATTCAACGGAACGCCGGAGCCACTGTAGTCCCTAAAGCCCAAACCCTACACCGTTTAACAGGGGGCAGGGACTTCATGTCTTTTTCAGGGGATAGGAGTTTGGATTAGGGGGACCCTTGAGGATATGGACCCTCTCAATAAGGTCCCTTTGATTAGAGCCATAAGTGGGGTCGAGAAGGGTCCCCTTTAAGGGATCCTAAACCCTAAACCCTAAACCCTAAACCCAACAAAAAAAAAAAAGCCTACGAGGGGAAGGTCTATCCTGAGGCAGCCCCGGAGGCTCTTGAAGCCTTGAGCGTTTTCAAAAGTTGTCGTCAACAAAACATAGGGTTTAGGGTTTAGGGTTTAGGGTTTAGGGTTTAGGGTTTAGGGTTTAGGGTTTAGGGTGGGTAGTTCTCTAAATTAGGGTCTCTTTTGGAGTACCCTAAATAGTAGGTGCCGTATTATAATGAGGACCCGAAAAGGGACCATAAGTTTGACAACCACCCAGGAGTTGTAATTGGTAGCGAACATGATCAAGCCGTATCTGCAGCCTGGTTGCGTGGTAGCCAGCCCGGCAGAAGCAGTCCTCCAAGGATGTGGCTCCAGGCAAGCTGTCCTCTGTGTCCCAGACGCTTTAAAGAGTTCCTTTCGGGGTTCATCCTAAAACCTAAACCGCAAACTCTAAAACTCCAGACCCTAGACCCCTAAACCTAAACCTAAACCCTACACCCCTAAACCTAAACCCTAAACCCGAAACCTGAAGGGTTCCTTCAAGGGATACCAGGGAAGGGTTCCTCCGCGGTTCCTGAAGGGCTGCTTCAAGAGATGCTAGAATTTAGGGTTTAGGGTTTAGGGTTTAAGGTCTAGGGTTTTGGGTCTTGGGTTTGGGGTTTAGGGTGTAGGGTCTAGGGTTTAGGGTTTAGGGTCTAGGGTTTAGGGCTTAAGGCTTAGAGTTTAGGACTTTAAGCTTAGCACAAGGGGTGTCCAGGCTTTGCTTGAGAGCTTTTGTGCTTTTGGGAATAAGCCCGATTAGCCCTGTGATAAAACCTCAGCCCTAGATACGAGCTTCGAGCCTATTCAATCTGTATAGTTTAACTTCGAATTATCATACACATGCTCCACATATGCATATATATATATATATATATAGTTGTGTCTGTGGTTTGATGTACATTTTGGGCAATCCGGGTGTCATTCTACCACGAAGCCCTCTCTCCGCCAAATGCATTCCTCTTCTTTTCCGAACTTAGACCTTCGACTGAGTGACTGGGTTCCCGAGCGCAACGAAAGCTAACCTCTTCAACGACAGAAGGATTTGGGTTCAGGGTTTAGGGTTTATAGGGCTTAGGGCTTAGGGCTTATAGGGTGTAGGATTTAGGGTTTAGGGTTTATCGGGTTTAGGGTTTAGGGCTTATAAGGTTTAGGGCTTAGGGCTTATAGGGCTTAGGGCTTATAGGGTGTAGGATTTAGGGTTTAGGGTTTAGGGTTTAGGGCTTGTAGTGTGTAGGGTTATATAAGGCCCGAAAGGTTAAAGGTAACCTACCCTAAACCCTAAACCCTAAACCCTAAACCCTGTAGACAGAAGTTCGGCGGATCGGACTAGAAACTGCAAAGCTGCAAGCCCCTTGGCCTGAGCCTTGTAATATAGGTTACTTCCCCAAAAGCTTAGGGTTTCGGGTTTAGGGTTTAGGGTTTAGGGTTTACAAGGTTAAACTGTCAGATTCTTACAAAATGAGGTTAAGGGTTTAGGGTTGATAAGAGCCCAAAACGTTTACAGGTTGGGTATTGGAGAGACCTATGAGATAAATCCTGCATTACCCATAATAAGGACTATACCATAACTCCCATAGTTTAGGGTCCTTCAGATAATGCCGGATTTATCTCATCAACGGTAGGAGCCTGACTAAGAAACCCCTGGTCTTCCATGGGGTTCTCTATATGAGGCCTACGATTTTAGGGCACAAGGGTTTAGGGCGCAGGGTTTCTGGTTTAGGGTTTAAGGGTTTGGGGTTTAGCGGGTTAGGGTTTAGGGTTTAGGGTTTAGGGGTTTAGGGGTTTAGGGGTTTAGGGTTTCTTATCCTACAGTACCCGCTGCAGCATACAATGACCCATCAAAATGCCGGGAGGCTGAATTCGCCGGACAGTTGAGGCCACCTGTAGTATTGGGCCGAGGGTTTAGGGTTTAGGGTTCGGGACTGTGAAATTCCTATAGCAGACACCATGACCAAAACAAGCAACAACCAATAACTAGAAAAGGCCTTCGGACTACATGAAAGAACGTGAATATAAGTCGGAAGCCTGAACAGCAAAATTGTAGTGACCCAGGCTTCTACGTAGACCCGAAACCCCAAACCCCAAACCCTAAACCCTAAACCCCAAACCCTTACCGTTAACCCCCTAGGGATGGTGTGTCTCGGTGCGAAGTGCAGCTCTGTGCTTCGGGCGGCTACAGGCTTAGGGCTTAAGGTTTGAGGCTTTGGGTTTGGGGTTTTAGGGTTTAGGGTTTTAGGGTTTTAGGGTTTAGGGTTTAGGGTTTAGGGTTTAGGGTTTAGGGTTTAGGGTTGAGGGCTTGGGGCTTTAAGGCTCTGAGGGTTTAGGATTTGAGGCGTTTCGGGTTGAAGGCTCATTTAGGACCAGGGGGCTCGGTAAGTGAGTTATCGCTGGGTTTGGGAGACACTCGGTGTCCCGCTTACAGCCTACTAGTACTTGCTGAGTCCTACCTACCCCTAAACCCTAAACCCTGAAGCCTAAGGAAAGCACCGAAACGCTAAACGCTGACCCCCCACCCCGAACACCCAAATACTCGTGCCTACGAAGATCATGGGACTTAGTAACTAAGCTGATTCTTCGGGCAATTTTACTGATGACCGCAGTCAAGGTACTTATAACCTTACTTGCTAAGTTCCATGATCCTCCAAGCGTGCTTAAGGGTTAAGCAAGAAATCAGACGCCCAAGCCCTAAACCAAAAACACAGACAACACTAGAACTACCACCCAAAGCCCCAGCAACGAAACAAACGGATCGGAAACCTTAAACTCTAAGCCTAAATAAACGCATGAAATACACCGAAACTAAAAGGAAAGACAGAATAACGCAAGACCTTACGCGAATAACGCACAACCCCTGTAATACCCCTACACACGAAGCAAGAAACGAAACACCCCTCGACAATGAAGCTCAAACAACAAAGGCACCTTTGCAGCCTAATCAAGAAGACCTAAGTGGGAGTCTTGAACTATTTGACTGGAAACAGAGTTCCCGTATCGGCGCCATACAACCATAGTAGCATATCCCCCCTCCAACAAAAATCATGTTATTTTCTTCGGCCACTACGTTTGAGTGAACCCCAAAACCCGAAATGGCCCTAAGCTCGACACAGCATAACGACTAAACCCTGAACCCTAAACTCTACACCCTAAACCCTAAACCCTAAACCCCTATTACCCCCTAAAAACCCTAAACCCTAAGCCCTACACCCCAAACCCTAAACCCTAAACCCTAAAAGCCATGCAAAACCCTAAAAACCGAAACTTCTGAGCTTCAAAAAAGGAGTGCAGAACCCCTAAACCCTAAACGCCTTAAGCCCCCTAAAAGCCCTAAACCCTAAACAGGCCCTAAACCAAAAAAAGGAGTGCAGCAGAAGCCTAAACCCTAAAAACCCCTAAACCCCTTCACCCTAAACGCCTTAAGCCACCTAAAAGCCCTAAACCCTAAAAAGGAGTGCAGCAGAAGCGCTAAGCCCCCTAAACCCCTAAACCCTAAACCCTGAAAAACCCTAAACCCTAAACTCTAAAACCTAAAAAGGAGTGCAGCAGAAGCGCTAAACCCCCTAAACCCCTAAACCCTAAACCCTGAAAAACCCTAAACCCTAAACTCTAAAACCCAAAACCCTAAACCCTAAACCCTAAACCCTAAACCCTTAAACCCTAGAACCAAACACCCTAAACCCTAAAAAGGGAGTGCAGCAGAAGCGCAGGGTTCATCGCCCAAGTTCGGTTTGTAGCGGCCGCTTGGGCACTCATCGCCTTGACTCGTTGGGGGGTTTGGGGGGCTTAGGGGTTTAGGGGTTTAGGGTTTAGGGGTTTAGGGTTTAGGGTTTAGGGTTTAGGGTTTAGGGTTTAGGGTTTAGGGTTTAGGGTTTTAGGGGCCTTAATAATGAGAATAA